TTGTGGTAAATTACACATAACATAAAATGTGTCATTTTATCTATTTGAAAGTGTACAGACCAGTGGCGCAAAGTACAATCATAACGAATGAGTGGTTTTAAACAAAAATAACGCTGGTGGGGCACATTTGTGGTGGTGGCCAATGATGAACTCTGGTGGCCTTCACTGTTCTCAAGGTTCCAAATGCAACGAAAGTATAGTGACAAGGTACTTCAGACCAAGTGCTGGATGAGGTATACATGATCTTGAAGCAGCTGGTAGCTCTGGTCTGTAGGCTCTGAGGTGGGTGCATATACATTTAGTTCACTCAAAAGGAAGGCATAAGTGAATGTTCAGCCCAGTTCTCTCCTGCCTCTGAAGGGCCCAGTAACACATTATTCTGAGCCACAGAAGTTAATGAAACCTCTACTAGCCTTGTCTCCTGACCTGTAAAATGCAGTAATCGTCCCAGGGTTGTCACAAGGATTAAATATATGCAGACTACATTAGCATAGTGCCTGACACATGGTATGCTCTCAATAACTGGTTCCTATTATCATTATTATATTATGGTCCTGATCAAACTCTGCCTTCTAGCAGAGCTATTAGAACAATGGACATATCTCCTCTGTTCAACTGAGATCTTGTTAAGGGAAAGGACTGTGCCTACTCATCTTTTTATACCCCATAAACCCAGCACATAGTAAGTAGTGCGTACGCATGTGTTGAATGAAAATATTCTCCCTTTATGTCTACCTCCTTCTTCCTCCAACCCTAGCCAGAGTCCACATGAAGAGGTGTGGTTGTTAAGAGCACAGGTTTTGGGGTGAGATAGGTTTGAATTCTGGCTCTGCTACTTACCTGTGTGACCTTTGGCAAATTACTTAACCACTCTGCATCTCATATAGAACATGAAGAAAATAAATATCTACTTCATAGAATTAAATGAGAATGTATAGTAAAGCACAATGCCTGTCACAGCTGAATGCCTGAACAGTAATAATTCCTCCTCCTCCTCCTCCTCCTCCTATTATCTGTTTCTTTCAGAAAAGGGGGCATGCCTCCCCTGCTCCCGCCGTTCTGATGCGGATTAAGTGAGAGAGAGGCTTGGTGAGAGAGAGTGTGATACAATCACACTAGGGAATGGAACTTTCTTTTTTTGGCCGTGCCACGTGGCTTGCGGGATCTTAGTTCCCTGGCCAGGGATTGAACCCAGGGCCACCGCAGTGAAAGCACTGAGTCCTAACCACTGGACCACCAGGGAAGTCACAGAATGGAACTTCTTCAAGGAAGATTTCCTGGATTGGAAAAGCAAGAAAGAGATAAGAGAAGCAATCAACCATAAACAAAACTGAGAAGTGGGTGACATTTGTCTGTGGTGACTCCCTTCCACGCCAAGGTCATTACCTCTCTTTCCAATTTAGGCTTTTACTGATATGCCCAGACAGTCTTCCGTGTTGTCTGTCAGTGCTGTAGAACCTTCCCCGCTCCTGTTCTTACCACCTAGCTCACACGTTCTGTATGTTCTAGACTCTTGGAAACCAATCGGGAACTAACTTACTAACCTGAGGTGAGATGTTAACAGCACTTTTGAGCACCTTAACTCATGAGAGAGACTGGCGTATAAAAATTGCAGGTCTGGGGCTTCCCTGGTGGCGCAGTGGTTGAGAGTCCACCTGCCGATGCAGAGGACACGGGTTCGTGCCCCGGTCCGGGAAGATCCCACATGCCGCGGAGCAGCTGGGTCCGTGAGGCATGGCCGCTGAGCCTGCGCGTCCGGAGCCTGTGCTCCGCAACGGGAGAGGCCACAACAGTGAGAGGCCCGCGTACCGAAAAAAAAAAAAAAATACAGGTCTGGGTGTTGGGGAAGGGGCAGAGGGGGAAAGTCTTTGGACAAAGAAAACTTTTCCATGCTGCACAGGCAACTGTCTACTTAGCCCTTGGGCGGAGTGAGTCTTGAACAGAAGAAAAGGAAAACAAAGTGGAATAGGCAGGTGCTTCCCAATAAACTCCTTTGATGCCCTCAAAGTGCTAACAACCACAATAAACACCTCAAAGTTGCAGCCACCCCCTTTTGTATTCACACTCATTATCGCTCTCATTGACACTACCTTTTGTGATCCTTTTTCTTTTGAGGCTTCCCCAACCCCTGCTTGCCTCAGATCCAGAGTCTGTTGCCACTTGCATTTGCCACCAGCTGGTAGACGACTCCAGCTTTCTACCATCCTTGGGCCTCCATTCCCATTACAGGCCTGCCTCTCTGCAATCATCTACCACCGGTGGACATCTCTGAATACCTATCACATGTAAGGTCCTATCTTTCCCCCGGCTACTACTGAGACTGTGTAAAGCGTGGAGCTCTATGCACAAATGTGCCACTAGTTAGCTCACAGAAAGAGATATATTGAAGCTACTTTCCCAAGAATGGAGAGAGCTTTCAATTGATTTACTCACCTGGTTCCTTTTTTTAAAAAAAAAAGTGTACCAACACTAGGGTGATCAACTATTCTGGCTTTCCCAGGACTGAGGAGTTTCCTGGGATGTTCAGGAATCAAGAGTCCTGAATAAACTGGGATGGTTAGTCACCCTCAAACATTTATGGACTGCCCACTGTTTATCTAGCATGACTTTAGGTACTGATGGGTTGCCTTCCAGGCCAGCCTTAAATGAATGGCAGGGAAAGTGATGCTCTAAGGCAAAAATGTGCTGGTAAAGTTTTAACAACCAGCTCTCCTGGGGAGGGGGAGGAGGGGGATCCCTAATTTGTAGCATTTGCCCATTTCTGTGTTGTAAACACTCCCATTATGGCCATTTTCAAGCTACCGAAGAGATGCAGAGTGAAACACCACTATTTAACATTTCCACTACACAAATACAACAGACGTGAGTTACCTCAAGAGCACAGGTGATAGTAAAATGTGATAAAAATTAGTAGGAAGTCATGAGTCTAGAATATTTATTACCTTTAATAAAATTTATGTAATTGCAAGTTTATATCATGTGATTTTTTAATGTTGGCTTTAACAACTGATTGCAAAATTCCTGAAAATGTAACCGTCAACTTTCACCAGTCAATATGAGCCAGTTCCAGCACATCACTGAAAGAACCCTGGGAAATCACCACTTTTCATCACTCACATGTCTCCTTCCCACTGGTATGCCACAAAAGACTGAAGACCAACCATTTGCAATTTATTCCTTTGATCTGAGCTCTGCCTTTAGTATGCTAAGATGAGCAAGACCAGGGATAAGGACACAAGTTCTAATCTCAGTCTTATCATGAATTGGCTGTGTGACCTTGACTTCTTTGGATCCCAGGCTCCTTATCTGCAGAATAAGGGGCTTAGCCAACTGGTGTTCTTAAATGACTCTTTCAGACATGTTTGTGTGCGTTTGTGTGTGTATGTGTTTACAGCTCTGCTGAGGTACAATTCACATACAATAAGCTAGATATATTTTCAGAGTACAATTTGATGAGCTTTGACTGAAATAATCACCACAAACAAGATAATGAGCATATCCATCACACCCACATGTTTCCTTGTGCACCTTTATAATGTATCCCTTCCTTTCCTCAGCTGTCACTAGGCAACCACTAATCTGCTGTCACCAAAGAATACTTTGAATTTTCTAGAATTTTCTAAAAATGGAATCATACAATATATATTATGCTCTTATCTTTATTTCCTTTTTTCTGCTTACTTTGGATTAAATTTGATCTCCCTTTTCTAGTTTTTTATTATGTAACCTGAAGTCATTAAGACCTTTCTTTTCTAAAATATGTCTCATGTTTTCATTTTCATTTTGTTGAAAATACTTTCGAATTTCCCTTGAGACTTACTCTTAAGCCATGGGTTATTTAGAAGTGTGTAATTCTTTCCAAATATTTGGAGGACTTTCCATGTATTTTTCTTTTACTGATTTTTAATTTAACTCCATTGTGGTCAGAGAACACACTTTGTATGACTTGCATCCTTTAACTTAATATTGAGACTTGTTACATGATCCAGATATGGTCTATCATGATATTCAATGTGCGCTTGTAAAGAATGTTTTCTGTTGTTATTGGGTCGAGTGTTGTATAGATGTCAATTAGGTCAAATATATTATTTGTGTTATTCAAATTTTCCATATTCTTATTTTCTGTCTTTTTGGTCTATCCATTATTGAGAAAGATATTTGTCTCTGACTAAAATTATGGATTTGTCTATTTCTCAAGTCATTTTTTTCTTCATGTATTTTGAATGTTACTAAAATGCACATATCTTTAGGATTGTTATGTCCTCATGATTAATTAGCCACATTATTATGAAATGGCCCTCTTTACCTCTGTTAATATTTTCCTTTGCAGTGTACGTTCTCTGATAATAATACAGTCACTCTAGCTTTTTAAAAAATGTTAACATAGTATATCTTTCCCCATCTTTTATGTTTCACCTATTTGTGTTTTTATATTTAAAATGGATTATCTATAAGCAGCATATGGTTGAGTCTTTAAAAAATATTTTTTTCCATTCTACCAATCTCAGCCTTTTAATTGGGTTGCTGTGAGACCATTGACTTTAATATGACTACTGATACAGTTCTGTTCAAAACTACCATCTTGCTATTTTTTGTCCCAACTCTGCCTGTTATTCAATGTCTGGAAACTACTGTTTCCCATATTTTGACCATTTTTTGAGTCGTTCATGTGAGAGGGTAAATCCACTCACTGTTACTTCATTATTGCTGGAAGTAGAAGTCCTCTATGTTTTGTTTTTCATACTGACTTGTTATTTATATTTGGACATTTGTTATTATATATATGCACATTAGTCTTGTCTTTATACATGTGACAAATATGTTCCTCCAGTTTATCAATATTCTTTTAATTTTATTTATGGTGTTTTTTTTTCATAAAGAAATTTTTAATTTTGATGTTGTCAGATCTTTCTCTTCCTTTGGGTTTTTATGTCATGTATGACTGCCCTGTATTTTCTTCTAAATCGTCATGTTTTAAAAGAAGAAAAATAACCCCTCAGTATGAATAAGTTTTATTTTTAACATCAAGTTTATTAATTATAAACGTAATACATGCACATGGTAAAAAACAAGTAAAACAGAAGGCTATAGATGAAAATGAAAAGTTCCTTTCGTGTTCTCCCAGTACCCCTGCTTGCCAACTTCCTCTTGCCAGAGGTAACTTCGGTTAGCAATTTCTTGTATATATCCTTCCTTACATACCCTGGACACATACATACACATGCATATTTATCCTTTTGTACACAAACAGGACACACACACACACGCACACACACACGCACACACACGCACACATGCACACACACACACATACACAGGGTTCTGCAATTTTTCATTTAACGTTATATCTTTGAGTCCTTAACGTGACTGAATTTTATCAGATGTTCACCAGACTGACAGAGGGACCAGGGCAGTCAGAGAACACAGTAAGGAAAGTGCACAGAAAAAGGTATATTCACCTCTGTAAAGCCAACACTTAGCACAAAACCTGGCACATAATAAATCCTCAATAAATAAGTGTTAAATAACTAAAGGGAAAGAAGAACTTGAGAAAACGGGAAACAAACTGCTACCTTGACCATTCTTCTCAGGCCAAACCGGGTCTCTGAGAGTTACCACCTCCCAGGGCAGCAGGGAACAATACCTGATGATAGATGAGGACATGGAGAGCTGGACCTCTCGCCTGCAATAACTTTCCACTGTGTGTCTCTTCCCCCACTAGATTCACCACCTCCAGCACACACATTTAGTTCAAATGCACAGTTCACACTGCCTACACAGTCTGGGGGCTCAAAGACTACACAGCTCAACTATAAACACACTCATACATACAGCTACCATTAATCAGTACCTACTGTGGGATAGGCACCATGCTGGGAACAACAGCCCTGCAAGGTTAATGTCAATTTACCCCCACTTTATAGATTAGAAAACTGAGGCTCCAAGAATCCAAGTGACTTATTCAGGGTCACACAGCTAGTAAGTAGCTTCCAGAGACAGCTCTACACCTTAATCAGGTCAGCCTGCTTTTCTGTCGGTCCCACAGGCTCTGTGCTATTTTCCTTGCCTGGCACTCCCTTTCTCCACTTGTCTCATCTAGTGTTTTGTGGAAGCCAGGCAGAGATAGAAACATGGGGTTGTGCAGGATCCATGCTAGGCTATGGAATACACTGTGAGGGATGAGTAGTGAGTCAGTCATAAGAGTATGAACAAGAACAAACACATGGGGGAGGTATTAAAAGTTCAGAAAGGGAGTGGAGCCTGGGAACTGGAGAGCACCCTCAGGAGCCTAGGATATGAATATTGTGGCAGCTCAAGAAACTCTAATGCAAGTATTTCTCTCTCCCTAGGTGCTTCTGGTGAGCTGCTCACAAACATAGCCCTTTTGCCTGCAGTCTTATAGCCACTGGCCAGTATATCTCCCCGCATCTTAATCCTATTCATTCTCAATGCCCACATTAAGTCTCACCTCGATGAAGCCTTTACCTATTAACCCAACTCATTCCTCTCACTTTCTTTTGTGAATTACAGTTTTACTTAAAATCAGCACCATAATATATAACATGTGTTTGTCCACCCTCTTGTTCTTTAATTATTTCAGGTATCTTGTCTCTTTAAGTGGACTCCTTCACATGTCTTTTTTTCTATTGTTTCCCTGCCCTGTCTGAGTATTGAGAAACCTGGCTGGATGCTAGTCCCAACTCTCCCACTGAGCTGTGTGACTTGGAGCTCGTCACAACCTCTCTGAGCCTCATCTTCCGACCTTGGAAGGTTTTTGTAAAAACACAGTAAACATTTTAACACAATATAAGAATGTAAGGTATTATTGCTGAAGACATTTCAACTAAGGTGCTTCCACCTTTTACATCCTATTTAGTGGATGGGTCTATGTAAGAAATAGCAATCACTGCTGCTTGTTTCACACGAGCGTCCTCAGCAAAGGTTAACAGGTTTAGAACAAGAATACTGCACAACTGTTAGAGATGGTGCCAGACAGAGGAGGTCTATATGCAGCTGATTCAGGGGCTCTCCTTGGAAACTACCAGGTGATTCCAGGCTTGCTCATTTTTAAAGCTTCTATTTTTCTGAATGTTTCTTCATGTAAATGATCCGTGTCAATGCTATGAAAAATGAAAAGAAACTTGTGTCAAGTCAAGCCAACAGATGCCTTCAGTACCTTTCTTTCCTGTTCTTAAGGATAAGATTCCTATTCACACTTGCACCACACCACCACTCAGTTACTTCATCCACTCCAGTTATCTACCTTCTCCCTCAGCCTTAACTCCCTGCCTCGGATCTCAAAAGAGAAAATGCTTAACTTCCTCTTGAACTCTCACTCCTATCCCTCCCTGCAATTGTCCAAGGCCCTGCTCCATGAGTCCATCTGTCCCTGATCCTGTATCTATATCCTCTCCCTCTCTTTGGGCTCCTTTCTCTCAGCTTACAAATTTGCCTATCCTAAAAAAACAAGACAAAAAAGAAAACGAACAATCCCTCCCCAGCCTACAACCCCACATTTCTTCTCCTTTTCACAAAAATCTTGAAAAAGTAGTCTCCACTCCTTCTCCACTTCTTTATCTTCCATCTTCTCAAGTCACTGCAATCTGGTTTCCAGCCCCATCACACCACTAAACAGCCCCTGACAAGGTCACCTATGGCCTCCTAATTGGTAAATCCAAAGGACACTTTGCAGTACTCATCATTTTGGAAATCTCTGCTGCATTTGACACTGTTGAGCAATTCCTCCTTGAAACTCACTTCTTCCATAGCTTCCAGGACACCTTTCTCTCTTGGTTTTCTCCATGGGTTTTCCTTTCCATACCCACCTCTTAAAAGTTGGTACTGCCCAGGTCTAATTCCCAAGAGATGTTCCTCAGAGGTTCTTCTCTTCTCATTCTCCCTAGAGGATCTCATCCATTGCCATGGCTTCAGCTATCACCTCCAGGAAACACTCCTATATCCAACTGTTACCTACTAGAAAACTTCCCACAATGTCCTGCAGGCACTTCAAACTCCACATGTGTATCCCTGATTAAAACGTATTTGACTACAAAAGAAGGTATAAACTCTTTCAAGTGTGTAGTGAGGTACAGTTTTTAGTTTTTAATAGATAGAAGCTAATCTTTATCTAGCAAAGTGAAATGAGTAGCCCTGCTAGTTATGCAATTGTAGGGTAAGTAGACATTTAATGCCATGGAAGTGTAACAAGAACTTTAGAATTTTTTGAATGACTTAGCAAAAGCTGTCTTACCTCCTGACATGTATAACTCACTGCTGGAGAAGAGGCAAGTCAATATGCTTAGGAAGCCTGGAGGTCTTCCGGGAGTTAAGAGACCACCTACTCTCAACCCCTTCTTTCCAAATTTAGAATTAGGAACATTTGTCAGGGTGATCTAGGGGGCTTTAACCAAGGCCCAGTGCCTGGGAAAGGCACCAAGGCACCAAAAATAAAATATCTTGAAGAAAGAAGAAGGCTTAAGTGGGGCTCCTGACTCAACTCAGGGGCGTACATCTTTGTGGGCAAGGACTGGCTTCACGCATACATACCTGTGGCTGATTCAAAGAGCTCTTCTAGACCCAGACACTCTGACACATATGGTACTTTAGAGAACAATGACTGCACATTTGGGTGTGGACTAAAATATATGTAACCTCGGAGTCCAAGTATAACGGCACTGCAGGGCTGGGAGGGATCCACACCAGCCAGGGTATCACCATCCAGTCACCAAGCTTCTGTGGGACTGGGTAGGATCATCGGTTCTCAAGATGAGCCCCACGTGGCAGTAAGAAACAGCAGTAGCAGTGGACTGATTCTCCAACCAGCTTTGGAAGCAAAACTGGCTCCATCTTTGGAACCAGTTTTGGAAAGGTGAGGAAAGGCCCCCAAATGTACTACTACTCAGATATGTGAAAGAAAAGGGTGACAACTGAATTCGAACCCGGAACTCTGCAAACAGATCTTACTAATCACACATGGCATACAAGGCCTTGCCTACCCCCTCAGTCTCATTTCTTGACACATTCTGCTTTGCACTTTATGCTCTAACAATAGCGAACTTCCTAGAGGTTTCCCACCTCTATCCCCCTCAAGTACCACAAAACATGCTGCTTATTGTCTGTCTACCTTTGCTTATGCTATCTCCTGAGCATGGACTACCCTTCTCCATCCTTACCCCCATTTCCCTGGCTATAGTCCCGAGACTCAACTCAGGTGGCCCTTCCTCCAGGAATCTTTCCCCGAGCCTCCTGGGCTGGGTGAGTTGTCTCCTGCCATGGTTCCCTTAAGATTTCATGATTACCCTACTGCATTCGTAAGTTTATGTGCCTGTCTCTACCACTAAGTTCACTGGTCCCTAAAGAGTACGAATCACGTCTCTCATCTTACTCATTCTTGTCTCCCAGCACCTGGCACATTTGCTCAGCACATAGCAGATATTCAGCAAGTGCTTGTAGAATGAGTGAAGGTGAGCACTTGTCACTCTGAGGCCACAACCTCTTTTTCCCCCTCAATCTTCTCAAGGTCTAGATACCTAGTCTTTATTGAACTGTCTCCTTGCCTTGCCCCCAGATGCTCTAAATTAATAACTGGTTTCCTATATGCTTTTACTAAATGCAAAGCACTGAACTAGAAAGTTTATGGGGAAAATACAATGAGGAATAAGATTCAGACCTCATACTGAAGCAGCTCTTAGAAAACAACCTTCTTCCTTCAGCCTTTCCGATTCTCAGACAAGACTCCCCTTTTAGGAGGCTCTCCTGGATTTATGCCCTCTCTAGCCCACCACCACGTTAAATGATCAACAGTTTCCTCTCACTTTACTTGGGCAAGTATATATTTCTATTGATTTCAGTGTTATCTGTCTTATATACACTCTAATGTTCAAAATTTATTTGAGGTCAGTGAATGGTGTCTACTGTGTGTGCGTGTGTCCTTTATTTTGTATTTTGAGCCACTATTGCACACTGCTATCAACTTGTAGATTGACAAATTACAAGGGTTTGAAGGTTGGCCTGAAAACACAATGGAAGCACATTGGTTAAAAGACAAAGGATGAGAGAAACAGGAAACGGTGCAACAATTTACAATAAAAAATAAATAATGGCATCACAAAATAATTTCTCTGTGATGTCGTTTAGGACCTTTGCTGAAGCTTACACACCATAGGGTGCTACCACATTAAATTACTCTATATTTAAAGAAACATTAGGATTGATTGTTGAGTTTATTTCAACCTACTGAAAATACAGACTCCAGTCACCCTTTTCTGAGAAAGACACCAGGGAGGTCCCTAAACCCCGGAGGCTTATTATGTTGTGAATAATTCCCTCTTCCTGGGCAGTAATTGCCACAGTCTCGAGTCTAACAGACTTCACTTTGCTAGTAGAGAACCAGCTTCTGTTTCAGCCAGACTTGTAATCAGGCCTTTATGCTGTTTTCATTTACGCTTCAATCCATCAAATTGGCTTTGGAATGTGGAATTTTTGCACTCAGCCGTTATTTTCCATTATGTGTTCCAGTTCTGAATGCCAGACATAAATGGCCATTTGGCCACTGGTTAGCCGCCAACAGAGCAGAGCTATATCCTAATTAAGAATTACTTTGTGTGTTATGCCAGCCTGCTGAGCTGGCAGGTGAACGTTGACCCGAAAGGGTGAAGACCTCCACTTTCTGTAACTGTAATTCTGCAACAGCTTCATCCCCCTGAGTCTTGAAGACTCTCAACATGTAAACATCAAGCCCTCTGGCAGGTATAAGAAGAAGAAAGGGAAAGGGTCTAACATTTATGGAGTACCTCCTATGTGCCAGGGGCTGCACATTCATAATTAACGTCTCACTTCATGCAATCCCCATGCTAACACCAGGTAGTCAGGTACTACTCATGTTCGCCCCATTTTATAGACAAGGATACTCAAGTTCAGGGAGGTTAAGTAAGTAAGCATGGTCATATAGCTAGTAGATGCTAGACCTAGTATTTAAGCCAGACCTAGCAGAATGTGGATCTGATGCTCTTTTTCCTACACCCTGTTGCTTTTCTTAGCAATGGTATCCAGCACCTACCTGTTCCCTACCTCTCTCCTTGTCCCTGTGTCCAAGGAAGAGGCCTACTGGTAATTTCACTTACTTTGATATTTTGCCTAGGCATGGACATCCCTCAGTTTTTCTTCTCTTTTCTCACTGCAATGACTATGATCAAACCCAACGTGCCTGTCCTGACCCCCTCTCTCCCACTTCCCCCACCACAGTAACTTACTAGAACGTTTGTAGTTTACATATTGGATGAATCAGTGCATCACACAGCATTTGAACTCCGAAATCCTTAATGTCATTTCCACTTAAGTCTAGCAACGTTAGGTTCTCATTTCTGTTGAGGACAGAGGCGAGGGCTCCACAGCATGCATCTGTGAGATGACATTCTGCTAGCCTATGGGGGATTGGGGATTCAAGAAAGAAACCGGTTTTACCAAGTTCCACAGTGACCCTCCATTTCATATACAGCCTGGAACAAGAGCCCAGGGTACAAAGAGTCTCTGTGCACTTACCACAAGGTCTGTAGCTTGCAGGAGGGGTGTTTCAGCCCTTCACACAGCACCTGCATGCCCTCGTCCCCTAAGGCATTGTCACTGAGGTCAAGAACTCGTAGGTGTTCATTGGTGTACAGTGCATTGCACAAATCCTGACAACACTCTCCAGTCAGGTGACAGGTCCACAGTCTGCCAGGAAGTAAGGCAGATAAGGTTGGCATCATTTCATCTGCATTGGGTCACTTTAGGTATTAGGATTACCCACTAGAAAAACACATTAGAAAATCAGAGTGGCGGGCTTCCCTGGTGGTGCAGTGGTTAAGAATACGTCAGCCATTGCAGGGGACAAGGGTTCGAGCCCTGGTCCAGGAGGATCCCACATGCCGCGGAGCAACTAGGCCCGTGCGCCACAACTACTGAGCCTGTGCTCTAGATCCCGCGAGCTACAACTACTGGTCCTGCATGCCACAACTACTGAAGCCCGCACGCCTAGAGCCCGTGCTCCACAACAAGAGAAGCCACTGCAATGAGAAGCCTGTGCACCACAACCAAGAGTAGCCCCCACTCGCCACCACTGGAGAAAGCCCGCGCAGCAACGAAGCCCCAGAGCAGCCAAAAATAAATAAATAAATAAGTAAATAAATTTATTTTTAAAAGAAAAGAGGGCTTTCCTGGTGGCGCAGTGGTTGAGAGTCCGCCTGCCGATGCAGAGGACACGGGTTCATGCCCCGGTCTGGGAGGATCCCACGTGCCACGGGGCGGCTAGGCCCGTGAGCCATGGCCGCCGAGCCTGCGTGTCCGGAGCCTGTGCTCCGCAGCGGGAGGGGCCGCAACAGTGAGAGGCCCACGTACCACAAAAAAAAAAAAAAGAAAAGAAAATCAGAGTGTCATGTAAAAAATATCCCTTGGGCCAGGGCCAAACAGAGATTATGGAGAGGGGAAGATTTATTCCCCCTAAATTATCTGGGTCTTCATTTATTGTTTCCTCAGAGATTATATCACGAGGCCAGAAAAAAATCACTTAATTTTGGGAGTTGCTGAAACATCAAGGAACTCTGCCTGTGGCTATTGTCCACGATACTTACGCCAGATCCTTTAACTGACAGTCAGGCTGTTTTAATCCTTTACACAGCAATTTCAGTCCCAAATCTTCAATTTTGTTATTAATGAGAAGCAGCCTTGTCAGGCTCCGGGTAGAGCTCAGGACTTGGGCGAGGGACTCACAACAAGCTGCAGAGAGGGAACATTCGGAAAGCCTGGAGGGATGGGGACACCAAGGTAGCTGTTAACCATGGCAGCAGGGAGTCCCATCAAACCTCAAATGCCAGTGCCCACAAGAAGGACAAGGACAAGCAGACACTTACACAAGATTCTCGATTATACCATTTGCATGCCGCAGACCTTCACAGAGATGCTGTACTCCTGTGTCCCCCAGGGCATTGGCAAACACAAACAGCTCTTTTAAAGTCTGACTCACTTGCAAGAAAGAAGAGAGCTCCACACAGCTAGCATCTGTTAGGTAACATGTGCTCAAGCTACCCAGAGACAAAGAAGAAAAATCAGCCACTGCTGTCATTTAGCTTCCCGGGAATGTTCTCCCAGCCTCCCCATTTAGCTAAGTCCTAGCCGTCCTTCAAGTTCCAGCTCCTGGCTCACCACTTACACAGAGCCTCCTCCCGAGGTCTCCAGCCCACAGTGACCCCCTCCCTTTCCCTGGGCTCATCTGGCATTTCTAAATGATTCGACAGTGTTCGGCACTTGATTACACGCTGAACTGTTTCATATCTGTGTGTCCTTAAGGGCAGCCCTGTCACTTGTAGTCCTTCTGATAACTCCATCCACACCTAGCCCAGTGTTGAGTACATAGTAGTATTCTTTACAGAGTTAATATTTAATTAGCATCACTCCTGTAAACACACAGGACGGTAGTATACTGGAAAGAGCATGGGGTATGGAGATAGATTTTGGAGTCACATCCTGACTATACCACTTTCTAATGGTGTGACCTTGGACAAGTCAGTTTTCCCCCCAATCCTCAAAGTTTCCTCATCTGTACAATGGGGTAAGAAAACCCACCCTATATAGTTATTTCAAGGAGTGAATTACGTGAAATAACTTCTGGCAAGCACCAAGCATAGATGCTGGCACACAGCAGGCATTTAACAAGTTCAACAGTTATAAGATGATGCCAGATAGTTGTAAAAAACTTACTCTAGCTTCTCTACTTTACAGTTGGAATGTCTGAGACCCTCACAAAGATACTTCACCCCTGTGTCCCCCAGGGGATTTTCACTCAGGTCCAGCTCAGTGAGGCTTGGATTGCAAATGAGAACAGAGGCAAGATATCTGCAAACAGTCTCTGAGCTTCCAGGGAGAAAGCTAGCACACAACCTGGAGAGAAAGAAAGATGAACAGACACAGAATTGGCCACTTTATCATCCTACTCCCTACCCGCAAAATATCATGAGCAAAGAAAATACAGGCTCACCCATATGAGACCCCCCCAACCCTGAATATGTCACAATCCCCTTTTACCCATGAGAGGGACTTGTACGTTGCTCCCACAACACTGTGTCCCCCAATGAGAACTCAAAACATGTTGACTGCCCCCCAAAAGAAAAGAATTGGGAGGAAATATCAACACGACCTAATCTCATTTTAATTCCCTGCATGGATTTTAGCACTCTATCTCATATCTTCTTTCGAATCACAGGGGAAAATGCTATAATCATCCTTAATACAGTTTACAGTCAAAAGATCTTTCCTTTCCTTTCCTTTTATCTATAAGTTCATTACTAGTTAATTTTGTCATCCTTTGAGAGACCCAGCTCATCACCATCATCCATATAACATTTTTTCTTTGGCACAAAGAGTGGTTTTTACTGACCTTCCCGTCTTCTCAATCTTTGTTTCTCCATATTAGGTAGTCCAATTCCCTGAACTATTTCCCATCAACTTTCTCTTCCATCACTTTCAAGAATTTCTACGATATACATTACAACCTCTGAGTCTTCAATTTTCTCTTGAGTTACCAGGCTCCAAACTCAGTCTTGAAGGGGGCTCATAAGGACATCACATATCTATATTTCCCCAACTTGGAAATTTTAAATAGAGGTATTTTGCCAAAAAAATGAGTTTCAAAGTGGATTTAGAAAGCTTTAATGCTAAAGAGCTTTTACTTTAGAAAACCCCACATATATGTTGTGATTGTTAATTTTATGTGTCAAGTAGTTGGCTAGGTCATGGTACCAGATATTTGGTCAAACATTATTCTAGATGTTTCTGTGAAGGTACTTTTTAGATGAAATTAACATTTAAATCAGTACACTTTGAGTAAAGTAAACTACCCTCCATAATGTGGGTGAGCCTCATCCAATCAGTTGAAAGTTTAACAGAGAAAGACCGACCTCCCAGGAAGAAGATGGAGTTCTGCCAGCGGACTGCCTTTTGACTTGAACTGCAACACTGGCTCTTCCCTGTGTCTCCAGTCTGCTGGCCTACCCTGCAGATACTGTACTTGACAGCTGCCATAATCCGCGTGAGCCATTCCTTAAAATAAATCTCTCTATATATTTATACACATCTTTTTGGTTCTGTTTCTCTGGAGAAACCTGACTAATACATATATGGTAAATTTTTTATTATGGTCACTACATGGACTTTGAAGTCAGACACATCTGGGTTTCTACTTGTGCCTTTGCCATGTTATTTAGCCTTTTGAACTTGGGTTTCTGTTTCCTCATCTGCTAAAATGGGGATAGTAACCTGAATCTCTCAGAGCTGTTGTGCGCATTAAAGGAAATCATGTATACAAAGCACTCAGCAGAATGCTTAGCACAAAGTAATTGCTCAGTAAGTGTGGGTTTTCATTATTGTCATTAACGTTATTGCCACTTTTATTCTTCCTCTCCATGACTCCTTGAAATGTGTTTTGATCATACAACATCCATCTTGAGCTGCATTATTTTTAACTTTTTTCTTGCAGTATGGAAACTAATAGTGACAACTTACTTGAGCTTCTGTACTTTGCAATTTGGATCTTTTAAGCCTTCACAGAGCAATTTCAAAGCTGAAGCTTCCAGTTTTGTTTCACTAAATTCCAGCTCAGTGAGCCACTGATTGGTGCTGAGAACAGCTGCTAGCGCACCACAAGAAGCAGGAGAGATAAGGCATCGGTACAACCTTCAGAGAACAGAAGAATGACCTCATTACCTTATTCATGCTCTCCCCCAAAACAAAAGAAATTGACAAAAAAATTACATGAACACAGACAACAAATTCTCCTGCTCAGTTACCTCAATGTCTGTAAGATACAGTTTGGCTGTTTTAATCCTTCACACAGAAGCTTCATTCCGGAATCTTCCAGGGTATTCTTCACAAATTCCAAATCTGTCAGATATTGGTTGGTTTCAAATACTAAGGCGAGGTCTCTGCCATAAGAAGCTGTGAGGTGGCAGAAAATCAGTCTGTGTGGAGAAAAAGGCATTTCAGAGAAGAAAACAGAACTCTCTTTAAAGGTACCCATTTGTCCCTTACTGATGTAATGAATTATTTAAATTCATTCGATAATTAATTTATCAGATGCTTACCACTGTGCTAGATGCTGAAAACACAGAAATAATTAAGATCCAGACCCTGCCCTCAAGGAATGCCCAGTTAATGGGGAAAAAATTAGAAAATCATAGATTATAATACAGTGTGAAAAGTAGTGCAAGTGGTATGCACAAGATATCATGGGGACACAGAAAGGTGGCACAATTCAGCCTAGCTTGAGGTGGGGTTTGGAGGATCAAGAAATATTTGTAAGAAGAACCACTACTCAAGTGTTGTTCTGAAAGGGTGATAAAAATTGAACAGGACTTAGATGGATGAGGAGAATGGGAGTGGGGAGAGCAGGAGGCACTGAGGGACAATCCACTCATGCAGCAGCCTGAGTGAAAGCCAGGAAGCAAGAGATGGGATGCTTCATCTGAGAAACTGCCAATTATTTGCTATGGCCTACTTTAAAACACTGGAAGATATATATCAAACTGCTAACAATGGTTATCTTCCAGGTTGAAGGGAAGGGTTGGATTACAGGGAGACATTTACTTTCTAGATATTTAGAAATTGCTTACAGTGATCAGAAGTTATCAGGAAAAAAATATCTTAAAAATTTGAAAAACATAATACATGTTTACTATAAATAATTTTTACAATAGAGAAAAATATAAAGAATAAAGTTTTTTAGGGCGGCTTCTCTGGTGGCGCAGTGGTTGGGAGTCCGCCTGCCGATGCAGGGGACACGGGTTTGTGCCCCGGTCCGGGAGGATCCCACGTGCCGCGGAGCGGCTGGGCCCATGAGCCATGGCCGCTGAGCCTGCGCGTCTGGAGCCTGTGCTCCGCAACGGGAGAGGCCACAAAGAGGCCCGCGTACCGCAAAAAAAAAAATAAAATAAAGTTTTTTTGAGAAAGTTCTGTATTTCTACCACCCAAAGATAACCACTGAAGATTTTTAATGCATGCATACATATAGCATCATATGTTCTCTGTAACAAGTGAAATCACAGAAAGATTTTAAAAGACGAAAACTTTTTCCCAACTTCCCCTCCAACTCCACCCCCCAGAGGTCCCCAGTGTTGAGAGTCTGATGTGTATGCTCCCACTCCTTTCTCCAAGATCATAGAAACATATGCAAACACACACACAGGATTTGTACGTTTTACAAAAACAGGACCATAGAAAACATTACTACTTTACATGCGCTTTGCCATTCAGTCCTCATCTTAGGCCCATAGGTAAAAACTGAAATTTAATTATAGCACAAGGTCATACAGTAAGTGGCAAAGTAGTACTCAACCTGAGGGCTGTCTGGTTTATCCTCTAGGCCTGGAAAAACCATTAGAAGTTTAAAGAGACATGGTCAGATCCCTCTGATGCCAGGGTAGGGCAGGAAATAAACCTGGGGTCAGAGGGCTGCAGTGGTCCAGGGAATAAATTGCCCAGGGGGAGGCGGGGAAGGGCTGGAGGCAGAGAAATTCAAGACACGTTTTTGGGAGGGATATGGCCAGGATTTATTACCACTTAGGGTGATGGGGATGAGGCTGTACTCTGGCTCCACCTTCTTCCTCCACAGGGTAGTGGAGGTCACTGAGGAATGGGGGCTGTTTCCGGTTCTAGAATATTCCACCTGTAGGAAGGGCAGGCCCACCGAGTGGGACAAACTATTATGGTGGTGGTGGGGGGGTGTTTGAGGCTTTTTGTACCTGATTACAAGCGCTTCACGTTCTTGGTTCTGAATCTTTTCTGACCACTCCTGTTTCTTCCCGCCCGCAAAGACTTTCAACAGCGTAGGGGGTTCCCTTATGTCGGTGGAGGGGGGCGGGAATCTTCCTCACGCACCCCACCCACCCCCACTGTTTCTGGAAGTTGGAACAGTCCCAAGGTGAACGTGTGGAGTGGTAACAAGAGGCTTTCTTTGTTAAGTCAGAGCCCTCGGGGAGAAAAAGAGAGCGAGCAGTGCCCTCTCTTTAAACGTGGTAGGCCCGTGTGTTCGGCGTGCATCCGCACTAGCCAGGAGGTGAGGCTTGGCAGGAGGTGTCCTGGGGCAGAGCTCTTTACGGGGTGGGGGGGGAGGCAAGCGGAGATGAGGAGACCAAGGGGAAGGGGAGAGGACAACTGGCTGATTCATCCCCGCAGGGCCAGCCAAGCCCCAAAGGCCCTCAGTTATCATGGCCTTGAAACTCGAGGACCCTGGTAATGGGTTCCGGCATGGCAAGGTGGTGGCCTTCATCAACGAGAGCATGGCCAGGCACGAAAAAGGCTCTGCGTTCTATCTCGAGAATATATCCTTGTCCTGGGCGGCGGTGGAGGACAAGCTCCGGGCCATACTGGAAGATCATCAGGTGTCCAGCGAGGCCAAAGAGGCCTGTGTCTGGGGCAGCCTGGCCCTGGGCGTGCGCTTCGCCCACAGGCAGAGCCACTTACACAGGTACAGGGTGGAGTGGCTGTACTACTTCGCCAAACTGCACAAGTCGGTGGCACGGGCCTTGGTCTCAGACATGAAGTTGCTCAAGGCACAGCAGGACGTGGAGCGCAAGGAGGCGGCCTCCCTGCTGCAGCTAGCCCATGCCAGGCTGGCGGAGGTGCAGAAAGAGCGGGACCTCCTGAGGTGGAAGCTGTTGCAGGCAGTAAGATTACTCTGACTTGGTCCCTAGCCCGTCCCGGGACCCGCCCCCAGTCCCGTTTGCCGCTCCCACGCGCCCCCCCTCCGCCCCCAGTCCCGTTCGCCGTTCCGCCACCCCACCCCCACCCCCGCCCCCAGAACAGGTCTCAGATCTGCTCACTTCTCTCCAGGAGTCGGCTGCAAAGGTACCAGGCCTGGCCACTGCCAGTGGGACAGGGGCAGAAAGAGCAGGTGAGGAGGAAGAAGAAGCAGGGGCCACTGCTCCTACTGCAGCCGCTTCTGGAGCCACAGGAGGAGGAGGAAGACAGAAGGATGTGGAAGGGTCAGAAGCTGCCGAGAGAGCAAAGGAGCTGCGTGGAGACCTTATGCAGCTTCTCGGAGTTGTGAACCAGAAAATTTACACCTCTGGTGGGCAGAGGGAGGGAGATCTCAGGTCCATGGACACAGCCATGCTTTATTTACCTGGGATAGCGAAGTCCAGGCGCACAGTCTCACAGGACTGTCTCACAGGACAGTCTCCTGTCCAGCTCCCTGCCTCATTCCCATCCTCACACTCATGCCCCTTATTCCCCTTCCCAGACGCACCCACATCCTCCCCACCAGCAGCGCCGTTCACAGCAGGAGCTCCATCTCAGACGTCTCCCTGCTGGGGGCCCTCTGATTCTAGCTTGTGGTCTGATGTGAGGGGCCAGGGAATGGGCCCTCAAGAACCACAAAGAGACGGGAGGGGCTCTGATCACCACCAGCAGGGGAGACCTCCAGTACTTCAAAGGCCAGGGGAGAAAACTTGCTTCCACTGTGGGAGGGGAATCTGGCTATAAAACCCTTGAATTCAGAAATGTGAAACAGAATAGAAACGTACCCTGATGGGAAATCAATTTTCAGAGGGAGGGGGAGGGGTGGGGGAGGGCTTGGGAAGAGTGGAAGGAAAGGGTGGGTGGGTGGGTGAATGGGGCAAAGGAGCTGTGAGAGAGGAGGGGAAATGGGGTGGAAGGTAGGGTATGGGGTGGTGGCTGGGGAAGTTGTAGATTGGGGGCTTACGGAGAGAGAGACCTAGAGAGACAGACGTGTCCTGATGACCGTCTTTGTGTTCCAGAGCACTAGTACTCGACACCCCAGAACTACTGCCGCTTCTGTGTGTGCCTCTCCCCAACTCTAGCATCTGGTGGACCTGGGCAGACAGTATATAACACCCTTGTCTCTGCTTCCCCCCCCACCCCTGAAACTAGACTGTAGATGACTGGAGCACGAGTGGACATTTGACTCATCCTGAGCCAAACAGATCCTCACACTAGAGAATCTGAACAGAGAGGCAGATTTCATAGCCAGGATGGTGTCGGGCAATGAAGCAATGGGGCAGATTTCATAGCCAGGGTGGTGTCGGGCAATGAAGCAGTGGGGCACTGGGAGTTGGGGGCAAGGTCGGGGTCACGGACACCGAGGCCACAGCTGAGGCCTGGCCTTGGCTGTGGGGGAACAGAACCGTGTGCTCTACAAAGGCCTAGTGCCCTTTAGAGAATCACAGTCTGAGGCCCCAGGGAGCAGAGAGGCAGAGAAGCAGAGAGGAGTTGATCCCGTGACCCCAGATGTGCAGAGTGGCATCCCGACCACTTTTCACTTCCTGCAGTTGTGCTGAGTGAAAATCCACTTTACACAGATCCTTTTTTCTTTAAGCTAACTTCACAGGGTTCTTGTTCTGGGCAACCAGATTATTGCCAAGCCAGAAATTTACACCAGAAGAGCAGTTGCAAACCACAAACCGTCAAAGAAAATGTCAGAACTGGCAGGGGAGGTGCATCAGGGAGTGATGGGTAGTGGGGATTCCTGCATCCCAAGTCTCCAGCAATGAACTGGACAGGAAGCTCATTCATGTTCTGAGTGAGTTATATCATGAGAAACAGGCCTGGGGTTAACCCCGGGCTTACAACAGGGCCACCTCTAAAGGAATCCTTCAGGGCTGCACACAGAGGACGCCAGCACCAGCTGCAGAAGAAGACTACTACCGTTCAGCCCCATGACAGGAGAAGCCTCCCCAGTCTCCAGTGGGGAAGCAGGAGTGGTGGGGGTATGGGGTGGGGAGGGGTATGAGGCAGTGGGGTGGAGGGCTTTTATGTCTTTATATACTTTGGTGTTGTGTAAAGTAAAATAAATGCTCACAAAAATACAAAAAATAAAAGTAAGTGAATTTATAGGCTCGGGTGAGTTTGGAAAGGCTACCTCTTCCTCTGGGGCAGAAGGGAAGGAAAGCAGACACCGATGTGTGTGGTGAGGAGGTGGGAGGGAAACCAAGCAGGCTCCTGTCTGTGTGTGTATGATGTGGACAGACAAGCAGACAAGTCACCTGAGAGTGAGCGAGGATGTAAGGTCCAGGTGGGGGGTGGGGGCTTCAGAGCATTGGCGCTTGGGGGAATAATTGCAGAGGAGGATAGGGGTGGGGAATGGAGGAAGAGAAAAGGAAACCAAGGGGAAAGACAATGGGAGTCTGGAAGGAAAAGGCAGGGGAGTGGGGTAGGGCCAGGACGGGCATCAGACACAAACTCTTGGATTTTACAGTCTGACACCCACTTGCTACAGCAAAAACAGCACATACAAAAGAAGAGGCAGGAGGGGTTGGCAGGGATCGCTGCCTGACTCCCTACCCCTTCTAGGCTTGTAGCGTATCTTTTCATCAGCTGGGAGTGTAATTTCTAGCAACCCAGTCTTTACCTGCAAATACCTAAGAGTTTAAAGCAAAGTTCAACTTACTTCAGGTCTTTGACTTTACAGTATGGGTTACGCAGTGCTTGGCAGAGCAAGTGTAGTGGAGAGACTGGCAAATTACGCAGCTGGAAGGGCCTAAAAGAGATGAGAAAGCAAAAATAAAATGATTAACAAAATTTTAAGTAAAAGGCTTATTTTGGCTTCTGTTGCCATCTTAGTGCTAATTTACAAAAACCTTAGGAGGTATTACCCCATTTTTCAGATAAGGAAATTAAGGCACAAAAAGGTAATTTGCCCAAGGTCACAGAGGAACAGAATGAAGGTCAGTACTCAGGTCTGTCTGACTCCAAAGCCAAAGCCATGGTACTGTATGCCAGGCACCGAGGTAAACACTTTACACACAGAATTTATCTTATCTGGTGCTTAATCCAATGACAGGTATTGTAATCACCACTTTGCAGATGCTCAGAGAGGTCAAGTGACTTGCCCAAGCTATCTGTACACTGTAACTGATTCTTGGTTGTCAGTACTAATAGAAGAATTAACGACAATAACTGAGAACTAGGAAAGTTCAATACGGTTGACCTTTGAACAATATGGGGGTTAGGGGTACCAACACCCCCACAGCTGAAAATCCACGTAAAACTTCACAGTGAGCCCTCCCTATCCCTCCATATCGGAGGTTCTGCATCTGGGGATTCAACCAACCTCAATCCTATAGTACTGTAGTACACATTTATTGAAAAAAATCCCCATGTAAGTGGACCTGCGCAGTTCAAATCTTTGTTGTTCAAGGATCAACTGCAGTAAACTCTCACTTAGTCAACACACTTGGGAAAAGTGGGTGTTTTTGTGGGGGTTAAACTTTGAAAAGAATTTAAGCCTTCTGATGAAAGCAATGGGGATGAAGGATGGGAACTCCATCTAAGGCTGATTTTCTGGAAACCCAAAATGAGCTAGAAGCCCCTTTGTGTTTCCATCAGTGCTTAAAATCTCTCAAATGTATATTGTCCATTATTTTACTTTATACTATACAGTTGGATTGAAGCTGTCATGAATTCATGAAGACACTGTAGCCAAAGTGCTTCGTAATTCCAAGTCCATGTAACTTCTCATACCCCTTCCCCTCTGGTCCCAAAGTCTTGCTGCACCTCCCTTCCCCTCCTCACTTTCCACAAACATACCTATGCCATGTTCAATTCCACCTCTATGCTACTGCCCACTGAGGAACTAACAATTACCAGAGAAAAGACGTGGGTTAACTCACTTCCCAAGTTGAGCCTTCTGCCCACTCCTGTCTCCTTCTCAAGGTCCCCTACCCCTCACCTGGCCCCACAACTAAATGAGAGGCACTGTCCATATTAACCTGAGTACTGAGAACAGACTTATGACCAGTGGCATTTTCCAGACAATGCAGGTATAAGTCTCCTTGGCTGCTTTAGTAAGTCAGTAGAGCTGTATTTTGTAGTATACAGAGTACATACTGCGTAAGTGGTTTACCTAAGCCTCTTTGAACTCCAGCTCTCAACTCTCCATGTAGGTGTGAGTCTAGAAGAAAGAACCCAGGCTTTATAGCAATATACACAGGAGTGCAGCTATGTCCCTTACCAACCTGGAGCTCTTTGAGGCCTCAGTGATGAAGTATATGTAGAGAAGAGTGAGGACAAATTGAACATTAAATTTACAACTTTTTCCAGAATAGTCATCAGCACCAAAATAGCAGAGTCTTCAATGATAATCTTAATGATTTATATGCTCATAACTTTTTATAATTATAAAGCACCTTCACAGAGAGACAGTGAAGACTAATGGACACATACACTCACATACACACACTTACAGTGGCTAACACAGTGCCTAGCACATAGTTAAGTTCTCACAAATGTTAGCTTTCCCTCAGTGTCTACCTTGTCCAGTGCTCAATATGTGATAGATACTCAATAAATCCTCACTGTGTTGATTGACATACAATATGGAAAGCAGAGATAATTCAATTTATGTATTGAAAGTGCTAGAAATGATTATGTGCCTGAATACTTGAAATAAACAAGAAGGCCTATCATTTCTGTAGGCCAAAACACTGGTGAAAAGACATTAGTATACTCACTGATTAAGTGTCAAGGTTGGTGGCATGAATGCTGAAGCTTGATCTTCCTCCTCAAATCCAAGTAGATGCTGACACTTCAGAGACACTGACAGGTGACTATGACTGCTTTTTACACAGAATGACATAGCCAGAATGTCCATTTTTGTATAGGTAGGTTGAAGCAGTATAATTGACCCTAAATCATCAATTATCCTTTTTGCATATTCTTCTTCCTGAATCTCATACAAACAGTGAAACAAGTCCATTGGCTCAATCTGTAACCTAGAAGATTTATCCTTTATTTCTTTCTCAGTCCACTTCAATAACTCCTCTCGAAGTCCTGGAGAGACTTTTCTCCCAAAAGTAGTTTCCACAGACTTTCCCTTTCCTTTATGTAAGAGGCCAAATAAGAACTGTATTGTTAATGATGAAAATCCTTTCCCATATTGCTGGAATATTTCTTGCCACGTTTTCCCCACTTGATCAAAAAACATCCAGCTGCTGTCATTCTTCAGGGCATAGAACACAGCAGTCAGGAACTCTTGGAAACTGAAGTGAAGGAAAGTATAGACACTGACACCTCCTTCAACTTTTTTCAAAAAGTGATTGAGAAAAGTGCAGTTGGTATCATACACTCCTATCCCATGTCTTCTGAGGTCACTGATTTCAAACAGGACCTGCTGGTTCTGCAGTCCCTCTGCAGCCAAAGAGCAAAGGCCCCACAGGCAACTCTGTCCCTTCCACACCGAGATGCCTGTAAGGGTTTTGAGGCACTTGGAAAAGTAGAACAGATACACATCAGTCATGGTTTGAAGTGATCTCATAAGAGTCCTGTCACCATCTCCCTGTGACTGCAGGACACTGCAGATCATCCAGGAGATGATGGGAAGAGAAGACATAATGTCAAGGCCTTCATTTTCTCGCAGACCATAAAAAACTCTCATTGCAGCATTAGCACCTGAAAACTGACTCAAGAAATATGCTCTCTTTTCAGCATCTGTAAACCACAGGATCTCTGCCTGGGTAGCTTGTTTTAACAGAGAGTGAAGCTTCTTCATGGTTGTAGGCCGGGCAGTTATCAGGAGGGAGGATTCAGGAAACAGTTTTTTCCTCACAAAACTACATAAGAGGGTCTCTACTGGCTTCCTCTCCAGGGGATTGGCACTAAGATCCTCTTCCTGGTCACCTACAGGGTACTGAAGCTCAGGAAATCCATCAAGAATGAACAGAAGCTTCTCTGGATATACAAGAATAACATCCAGGATTGGTCCGTCAATATCTTGAAAAGCGTTAGTGATCAGGTCAGCAGCGCTAAGGTTAGCAAAACGGCTTATTTCTCTGCAGTTTACATAGATGAGATAGTCAAATCTGCCTGGAGTAACCATTCCTGCTGCCCAGTCAAACATGAACTTATGCACCACAGCTGTTTTCCCAATCCCAGCACATCCCTGAAGCACCACAGTTTGGGATAAGCTGGAGCCCTCTTCATCAGGATCAAATATATGTTCCATCTCAATAAAATTATTTTGTTGAGGAATTCCGCATGGTGGCTTTTCTGATATACAGTGTTCTTTTACAACAAGCAGTCGTGACTCTATATGCTTGCCATGGTGATAACATTTGTCAACTCCTTTTTTTAGGTATTTTTCTTTTAGATGTTTTCTAAATACTTTCCTGTAATCTAATGGGGTGACACCAAGAGTCAGTAATCACAGAATACTAGGCAACAATACAAACAACAACTATAACTAATACTACCATCACCACCATCTCTACTCAGATGTTTCAAAGCCTCCTCAAACTTCATGCATCTGAGCTCTTGATTTCTATTCCACTGCCCACCCCCTCCAAAAAAAAATAACCCTCCTCAGGACTCAGAAAAATGTTAGGATTCATTATTTCTTTTTTTTCCCTTGAATCCTCCACATCCATTTAGCAAGGCCTATCATTTATATCTCCAAAATAAGCCTCTAATCCATTTGTTTGCCACTACAACCTCAAATACCACCCAAGTACAAGGCACTATCAACTCTTTCCTGGACTGCTGAAACAGCCTCCTACTCATTTATACTCTTGCCATCTATGGCTCCTCTCCACACAGGCAGCCAACGTGATCTTCTAAAAATATCAATTACATCACGTCACTGCCATGGCCCAAAACTTTTCAAGAGCTTTTCATTGCACTTGATATCAAATCCAAAATCCTTACCTCATCCTACAAGGTCTGCTACGATCTGGGCCCTATCTACCTTCACTCCCCAGCCTTTTATATCACTCTCCTTCTCCGTCCCTATACTAAAGCCACACTGGCTTACTTTTAGTTCCTCACAAATGCCATGTTCTTTCCCACTTCCAGGCCTTTCCACCAGCTATTATCTCTGCCTGGAACACACTTCTTCCTGCTCTTCCCATGGAGATCCCCTTCTCATCCTTCAGACCTTAAACATTACTTCCTAGAAGAAGACTTCCCTGACCATCCAGTTTAAAGCAGATCCTCTCTACTATACCCTCTCCCAGGACCCTGTTTTCCCTTTATAGCACTTAGCACAATTTACAATTGTCTTGTTTATTTTTTTCATTATCTGACTTTCCCACTAATCTACATGAAAACAGGGACCTTGTCTGTCTTTTTCATCATAGTACTCTAAGTACCTAGCTGGTGCCTGGAACATGGTAGACACTCAATATTTATTGAAAATGGCTATAAATGCTTGCTTTTGAATTAAAAAAAGCCATTTATTATGCCTATTCTGTGTCAGATACTGTACTAGGCCCTTTACATACATTTAAAAAAATTTAATCATCATAATAATCCCATGAAGTAGGTATTATCCAGATTTTATAGTTGAGGAAACTGAAAACTTATAACCAGGGTTATACGTTCATGGGTGTGCAATCTGTGCTTAGGCCTCGTGCTCAGAGCATCCATACTTGGTGTAATGCTCTGCTGTTCCTATCTTGAAATTCTTAATAATTTTTGAACAAGGAATCCTGTCTTTTCATTTTGCACCATACCCCATAAATATGTAGCCAGTCCTGCTTATAGCACTGGGTAACTTGTCCAAGGTTCAACAGCTAGTAAATGGCAGAGACTTCAATTAAGACTCAGGTTTGTCTGAAGCCATGGCCTATATGCTTAAATACTATATTACATAGTTTTTCACTTTCTGCAACTAGAAAAAATAATCCAAGGAGTCAGTTATCAAATTCAAACTTCTGTTAAGTGAATATCTAAGCTAGTATTTTCCAAATAAGTTTCTTGTGTAACATTTTTGCAAGATATTAATAGGAGAGCTGTGAAAAAGGTGTCCAGTGGTCAAATAAGGTAAGGGGAATGCACCTTCTATCCCATTTTAGAGTTTCTCAATACATATTAGCATATGAAAGGCTCTGAGCGAATCAACAGTTAAAAAAAAACAGACTGTTTAACTTTGTTTAATCCAGTATTTTCTGGACTTAAATGACTACAGAACCCTTTATTAAAAGCAAAATTATTAATTCCTGGAGAATAGTATTCTGTAGAATTCAGGTTGGGGAATGCTGATCTAGATAAGTGTTTGCAAACTTTTTCTGTAAAGTTCCATAAATAGATTAGGCTTTTAGGTCTCTGCTGCGATTACAGGCATGCCTTGGAGATATTGTGGGTTTAGTTCCAGACCACTGCAATAAAGCAAATATTGCAATAAAGCAAGTCACACAAACTTTTTGGTTTCCTAGTGCATATAAAAGTTACACTTACACTAACTGTACTGTAGTCTATTAGGTGTGCAATAGCATTTTATCTAAAAAACAATGTACACACCTTAATTAAAAAGTTCTTTATTGCAAAAAAATGCTAATCATCATCTGGAAACACAGGGTTGCCACAAATCTTCAATTTGTAAAGAACCATAATATCTGTGAAGTACAATAAAATGAAGCTCAATAAAACAAGGCATACCTTTACTCAACTCTGCCATATTAGCGTGAAAGCAGCCCTAGACAATATGTAAGTGAATGGGCATGGGTGGTTCCAGTAAACGTTTATTTACAAAAACAGGCAGCTGGCTGGATTTGGCTCACTAGCTGTAATTTGTTGACCTCAACCTAGATCATTCCAGAAGCAGACTGGTCTATTGTCTTCATAAAGTCCTGTATATCTGGTGCTTGACTACCATCATCAGAGGTCCTCCTAGTATTTGAATATCTATTCTAAATGATATAAAAGCCCTATTTGTTATGACAGTTTGGGACTTCATGAATATTACCAAAAAAACCATTGATTGTTGCTCAGTGAATATGGGGGAAAAATGGGAGAGGACTGGGGATGAGTGGGGTTCATGGGAGACACTATTCCCAAAACAGAAAAAGAGTAAATCAGAAAAGACATCTACCTGTAAGCTCCTTCCATGAAAATGAAGCCAGAGAACTTGAAGCAGCTGTGGGAGGAAGAGCTAGGGTTAAGAGTATCGCAAATACACCTTTGTACCAAAACATGAAATACACAGAAATTTAGTCACACTATTACAGCCATTCATGCTGTTCCCCAAACAGAAATAAAACAAAGAAAGCAAGCCACCTCACATCTATTCTAACTTACCAAAAAGGTATTTCATAGCTAATGTCCAACATAAAGTAAACCTAAGAAATTCCCGCACAAATATATTTAGGGTGTAAACATTTATATTTATATGAAAAATAAGGAAAATTTTAGGCATGAATTTAAAGGGGCATTCATTATTTTAAGTGACTGCTTCTGGTATTTTTTTTTCCTTTGAACGTTAGCTTATTGCTTTTGTTGGAGCTTCTGTTGAGCCTAATTTGTTAATGAGAAAGAATAAGACATTGCTGATGTTAGTTCGACAGAAATATACAATGACCTACATTCAAATGCGCGCGCGCACACACACACACACACACACACACATCCCTTCACATTCCTATAGGTTTTTAGTACTTGCACACCTTTATAGGCAAGAGTGAGACATAGTTGGGAGCTGTGACTAGGTGGATGGGAGGAAGCAGAGTATGGAGAGACAGATATTAGAATGTCACAGAAATGGGCAGCAAGTGAGTGGTCTGTTGAAGATAACCAGTTTCTATTCCCCATAACTAAACATTCCTTGGAGTTCAGGAATCAGCCACATGGGGAAGGACTCCAGAAATCTTCACTCTTTACTCTTTTGTGCTGTTTCCTGTGAAAATCTGTGGTTACAGTAAAGGAAGAGACTTAAGAGTCTTTTATGATTATAGATGCTTTGGGGGCTATGGAAAACATTATGAACACCAGATGCCTCTTCACAAAAATTGTGGAGAGATTATTAATGGGTAAATTCTGTATCCATGTAATACCTTAATATACATATACCTATACACATACAACACAATTTTAAAGATTCAGAAAAATCCCACAGTCCATGAGGAGAAGTAGGGGAAAGAGAATGAACAAGATTACCTAGATTACACCCTTTTTTACCTCATTCAGTTACTCACCTTTCTGTTCAGACAATAAGCTCCAGGTGCAAGCAGGTTCCATATCTTTTCGTTTCTTTTGACTGTTCATCCTGGCAAATCAAGAAGACTGTAACCCAAAACAGAAATGATGACTTTAATGCCTGGTGGAAGCCCAGAGTAAAAAAGTAACTCAAGAAAGACTACTCAAAGCATCACAGAGCTGGGGAAGAGAGAAGGCCTAGTAACCAAGTAGAGAGCTAGCGTGGGACTAGGAGATCACAGGAAGATAGACCAAAATCAACAGTCTTCAGCTTGAAGAGAAAAAAAAAAAACTAAAGAGTATAGAATGTCCACAGACTTTTGAAGAGTACAAATACGGGAAATGTCAAATTGAGCTCTAAAATGCGTCATTAAGGGAAGGATAGGATTTAGGCAGTATACCTCTAATGTTTGTGGCCAGGATAAGAAAGAATGACTGTGTCCTTCTACAACACAGTCAATTTGGTACCACTGGTAAAGGGAGAATTCTAAGACCACAGATTAGAATACTGTGGTATAAGAGAAACAGTTTAGAGAGTCAGGAGATCAAGCCCTAGTTCCATTTCTATAACTATCTACCTATGGACCTTGAGTAAGATTCTTCTACTTTCTGAATCTGTTTTATTATTTTCAAAATGGTGGAGAGAATGTTAGCCCAGGTTTCTTTCCAGGTTGAACATTGTAAGATCAGTGGTCCTAAGTCCCAGTTGCACATTAGAATTACCTTCACACCACCTTCCAGAATTTGTTTTCTTTGTTGCAATATTACTTATCAATTTCTAACACACTTGATTATTTTCTTATGAGTTAGGTTTATTATTCACTTTCAGTATTTCCCCTTAAATTGAATTATTGGCCCCAATTCTCAGCCCTTGCCATGAACTTGGCAGGTCCACACCAAAGAAGTGGAACTTATTTTCCCACCTCTTATCTTTTTTTTTTTCCACCTCTTATCTTTGAGCTCAGCTTTGAAACTTGCTCTGGGTAATGGAGTGTACACAGATGTGACTCAAGTAGGGCCCTGATATGTGCTTGCACAGTTGTACATGCTCCCTCTTGTGATTCTGCCACTGGCATGAGATGAGCCATGAGAGAAACAAGCCCCAGGTAGTCCACTCATCCAAGGATGAGAAATACATGCAGTAGAGCCACCCCAGTTTACTCATAGTCCTGCAGCAAGAAAAACAGAGTCACCCCAGCCCGAATCAGAGTTGCCCAACAGAACCCTGCCTAATCAGCTGAGTCCCAGCTGGCCTCCAGATCGGTGAGAATAAGCGCTGAATAAATTCTTAACTTTTCATGCCACTGAGATTTTGTGCTTGTTGTTATGTATTGTTGTGGCAATAGCTAACTAATACATCTTGCTAGAGAGTAAATGCCTAGAAAGTGTTTGACATACAGAAGACATTCATTAAATGTTCATTGAATAAACTGAATAAATGAATAAAATCTTAAAAATAATACAGTGCCTAGTCTGCATTCCTGATTAATTAAATCAGAATCTTTGATGATGAGGTTCGGCATCGACTTTTTCTTAAGTTCCCAAGGTGATTCAAATACACAGCCAGGGAAAAGAGCCACTGTTCTAAGAATTAGTTATTTTTGATAGAGTGTACTGGTGAAACACACAGGCTTTGGAATCAAACAGATGTGTTCAGGCCCTGACTCTACCACTTACTAACTATGTGACAACCACGGAATTAACATCTCTAAGCCTCAGATTCCTCAACTATTAAATAGGGATAACAACAGTTTATAACAACAGTTGATCACAACCTTTCTTAAAAGGTTATTATGAGGATTAAATGAAGTATGCATATGAAGTATTCAGTACACTACATGGTACATAGTAAGGGCTCAATAATCCTAAACTATAGCCAATGTTGGCATTGCTGTATCATTTGATAGAGAGTAAAAATGTCTGAATTCAGATAGACCTTACTTAAATTCCATTTCCACTGCTTTCTAGCAAGATGACTTCGAGTAAAGTTACTTAAACTCCTGAGACTACAGTAACCCATCTGTAAAATATGGTGATAATAATAACTACTTCATTATTTTGTTGTGAGGATTAAATAAGATGACACACATAAAACTCTTAGCAGAGGACCAAGTGCAATATAAATAATGTTAGAGAAAAATAAGTTGGCATTTATTATAACTGACAGAAAGAAGTTACATTCTATTAAAATCTCCACATAACAACTTCTTATGAGACAGAGTGTTCCCAGCACAGTGTTATATTCCCACATCCTGGGTTCTTTTCCCAGTCACTAGGAATAGCATGTCCTCTAAAAAGTAGAAAAAAAAATTCTCTAGTTACAAATTACTCCGGTAAGCACTCCTGCCCTCAGGTAATGGAGCTGGAGGGGTACATGGTCACTGACTCTCTTCCTAGGCAATCTCTACAATGCCTATGATTTCAATCATTCCTTACAACTCCTAATTGTTTATCCCAGTCTAGCCCTCTTCTCTCAGATCCAGATTTATTCATCTAAAGGCTTACACAACATCTCCACTTAGATGCTGACACCTCTCTTTTTCTTACCTCTGTTGGTAACTACTGTTTGGTTTGTCCACCATTCTTTCACTGATCTTGGTTTTGATAAGATATCCCATATCTCTCAATGGAATAATCAGATTCTCTGTGCCTGAATTTTAAAACCTGAGTGGGGACTTATAGAGACTGAGGTTCTGATACCCAAATGCCCCAAGCTTCCTTAGTTCCTGACCTCCCTGAAACCTTGTTTTTGAGCACTTCATGTAGTTTCATGTAACTCCAGTATCCTTCCAAAAATCTCTATTTTTGCTCAAGTTAAGTTATTCAGAATCAATTTCTATTGCCTGCAACTAAAGAACTCTGACATAGAAATTATACCAGAAACACTAACAACAAGCTATCAGAAAGAGGAGTTAAGAAAACAATCCCATTCACAGTTGCATCAAAAAGAATAAAATACCTGGGAATAAGTCTACCTAAGGAGATAAAAGACGTGTACTCAGAAAACTATAAGACACTGATGAAACTGAAGATGACACAAAGAGATGGAAAGATATACTGCACTCATGGATTGGAAAAATTAATATTGTTAAAATGACCATATTACCCAAGGCAATCTACAGATTCACTGCAATCCCTGTCAAAATACCAATGGCATTTTTCACAGAACAAATATTCTAAAATTTGTGTGGCAATACAAAAGATCCCAATTAGCTAAAATAATCTTGAGAAAGGAAAACAAAATAAAGTATCATGCTACCTGATCTCAAACTATACTACAAAGCTACAGTAATCAAAACAGTATGGTACTGGCACAAAAACAGACACAGATCAATGGAATACAATAGACAGCCCAGAAATGAACCCACCTTTATATGGGCAATTAATCTACAACAAAGGAGGAAAAAATAAACAATGGGGAAAACATAGCCTCTTCAATAAATGGTGTTGGGAAAACTGGACAACTACATTCAAAAGAATCAAACTGGACTACTTTCTCACACCACATACAAAAATAAACTCAAAATAGATTGAAGACTTAAATGTAAGACCTGAAACCATAAAACTTCTAGAAGAAAACATAGGCAGTACATTCTTTGATATCAGTCTTAGCAATATTTTTTTGGATATGTCTCCTCAGGCAAAAGAAACAAGAGCAAGAATCAAATGGGACTACATCAAACTAAAATGCTTTTACACAGTGAAGGAAACTATCAACAAAATGAAAAGGCCACCTGCTGAATGGGAGACAATATTTGCAAATGATATATCCTATAGGGGGTTAATATCCAAAATATACAAAAAACTCATAAAACTCAACATCAAAAAAACAAACAACCCAATTAAAAAATGGGCAGAGGAACTGAATAGCCCCTTTTTTCCAAAGAAGACATATAGATGGCCAACAAGAATATGAAAAGATGCTCAATATCATTAACCATCAAGAAAGTGCAAATGAAAACCACAATGAGATATCACCTCACACCTGTCACAATGGCTATTATCAAAAAGACAGTAACAAGGGCTTCCCTGGTGGCGCAGTGGTTGAGAGTCCACCTGCCGATGCAGGGGACACGGGTTCATGCCCCGGTCCGGGAAGATCCCACATGCCGCGGAGCGGCTGGGCCCGTGAGCCATTGTCGCTGAACCTGCGCGTGCGGAGCCTGTGCTCCGCAACCGGAGAGGCCACAGCAGTGGGAGGCCCAAATACCACAAAAAAAAGACAGTAACAAGTGTTGGTAAGGATATGGAGAAAAGGGAACCCTTGTGCACTGTTGATGAGAATGTAAATTGGTGCAGCCACGACGGAAAACAGTATGGCGATCCCTCAAAAAATTAAAAATAGAGCTACCATAAAATCCAGCAATTCCACTTATGGGTATTTATCTGAAGAAAATGAAAACATTAATTAGAAAATACATAAACAACCCTATGTTCATCACAGCACTAGTTTTTTTTAATTTTTATTACAGTACAATTGATTAACAATGTGTTAGTTTCAGGTGTACAGCAAAGTGAATCAGTTATACATATACATATATCCACTCTTCTTTTTTTTATTTTTTCCAGTTTTTTATTTTTTTAATTTTTTTTAACATCTTTACTAGAGTATAATTGCTTTACAATGGTGTGTTAGCTTCTGCTTTATAACTAAGTGAATCAGCTATACATATACATATATCCCCATATCTCCTCCCTCTTACATCTCCCTCCCACCTTCCTTATCCCACTCCTCTACGTATCCACTCGTTTTTAGACTCTTTTTCCATATAGGCCATTACAGAGTATTGAGTAGAGTTCCCTGTGCTCTACAGTAGGTCCGTATTAGTTATCTATTTTATATATAGTAGTGTGTATATGTCAATCCCAATCTTCCAATTTATCCCTCCCCCACACCTTACCCCCTGGTAATCATAAGTTTGTTTTCTACATCTGTAACTCTATTTCTGTTTTGTAGATAAGTTCATTTGTACCCTTTTTTTAGATTCCACATATAAGTGATATCATATGTTATTTGTCTTTCTCTGACTTACTTCACTCAGTATGACAATCCCTAGGTCCATCCATGTTGCTGCAAATGGCATTAT